GAAGGGGGAGGTGAGGACATGGGGGAGGTGAAGGGGGAGGTGAGGACATGGGGGAGGTGAAGGGGGAGGTGAGGACATGGGGGAGGGGAAGGGGAGGGGAAGGCATGGGGGAGGTGAAGCAGGTGAGGGCACGGAGTTTCTGAGGCTGTGAAATCACATTGGGAGGGGGTGTCCCTCCCTCCGGGAGCTGTTGGGGGTTAGGGATCGTCAGAGAGGCATGGCCTTGGGTTAGCAGCAGTTTCTTGTGCACGAGGCCATCAGACGTGCCCATGATTGCATATAAGTAGTTCCTAAAAAGGGAAAGTGCTCAAGGCAGGTATTTTTCACTGTTGTTATGGGCCGTCAAACTGACCACAACTCATAGCGAGCCTGTGAGCGATAGCTCAGAACCTCCCCATCACCCTCTGTATGTCTCAGACACACCTGCCCTCACTAACCCAGTCACTGTGTCATCTGTGTCGTCCAAGGTCTTCCTCTCCTGCGCTGTCCCTCCAACCTTCCAAGCATGATGTCCTTCTCCAAGAACTGGTCCTTCCTAGAAACATGCCCAAAGTATGTGAGACAGAGCTTCAAAATCCTAGCCTCCAATGGGAATCTTGGATTCACCCTCTCCAGGACAGACCTGTTAGTTCTCTTGTTATTTCATGGGATGTTCAGTGCTCTTCTCCAGCACCCCAGCTCAAAGGCATCAATTCTTCTGTCATCTTTGGTCATTGTCCAGCTCTCTGATGCATAACAAGTACTTTTTTTACTGGTTAAATTATTACTTGGTTTAGAGAATACTTCAGGAGATTTTTTTTTCGGTTTAAGGTCTGTTGATTTCCCTAATCGTTTCTTAATAATAGGGGCACTAGTGTCCCAGGCTGCTCCAGCCTTTATGGTTCCAGTAAGTCTAGATTGTGTGAGAATTTGAATACTGTTCACATTTCTCTGCTTTTGGTCAGGGTTCATCAATAGCATCTTTGAGGAAAACGTTCAGTCTTGGTAGCTGGGACCACGTAGTTCTGGTTTCACGCTCAGGGAAGTGATCAGCTCCTTCTGTTCCTGACTGTCTTCCTTCTCTTGCTCCAGAGGAATAGAGACCAGTTGTTGGACCTTGGATGACCACTTGCACACTTTCCTAAACCTAAGGCACTGCCCAGTGAACAGGGGGTAGAGTACTCAGCACCTTACTGGATCGGTTAATCGGGAGTTTCATGGAATTGTGACCCCAACCCTCTGGAACACATCCGTGCGTTCTCTGTACAGAAGTGTCCTCAGCAACTGTTCTTCTTTTCCTCCATTTTTTAAGTCACCAACCTCCAGTTCAACTTTTTACAAGTGTAAACTCAAGGTCAGTGTCAGAGTCATTGGCTGTGCAGGCTTATCCTCTGTGTGTCTACTCATTTCTCCTACTTCCCTCTTCTCTCTCCCTCCTGCACCACTGGTAAACTTTGTTCCCACCCATGTCTTTCCTGCTTCTGTTATATAAAGGAGTCACTCCGTAGCTGCCCTTGGGTGGTTGACTTGCTTTGCTTGGCAGTGTCTTCTGCTTTGTGCAGTTGGACCTGTCTGGACCTCTCCCTCTAGCTGGCTGACCAGTATTCCATTGCCAGCAACATGTTGTGTAACCCAGCCGCTGATGGGCACTTGGGGTGCTGCCACCCCTTGGGTGTTGTGAATCGGGCTGCACGCACACTGGTGTCCAGTCTCCGTGTCTCTCCTTTCATTAGAGCACTGTCTACCTCAGAAGCTTTCATTCCTGTACTCGGTATTAGAACACTGTCCGCTTCAGAAGCACCACTTTGCCTTCCCATCAGTAATAGTAGAGGTTCCACTTACAGCCTCCCTGGCAGCTCCCCTTCTATCTGATCTGAAATTCTGAGACAGCCTTTAGTAAAATGTTCTCATTGTGGTTTTGACCTGACATTCACCCTCCTGTCATATGTCCACATCGTTAGCTGTCAGAGAGCTCATCATTGGTGACTTCTAATGGCCCCTTTGGTAAATGATATACTCAAGTCGTTTGCTTATTTTATGATGGGATTATTCGTCTTTTTAATTAAGTTATCTCAGTGTTATATCTTTTGTCCAAGTTGTCTTTTTAAAACATTTCAGTATTTTTTCATTGTTGCACATTTTCTTCCCTTCCTTCCCCCGGCCCACCCCACAGTGCACTCCTGTTCCCGAATGTGGTCATGCATACAATATCATAGATCCCTTCTAGACAGTTCTTCCTCTCATCCATTCTAATGCAGTGTTCCTTATGAGCCACTCTTTCCCCACTCTCTCCCAACCCCCTATGTCTGTCTCATAACAGTGGCATTTTGCCATATTTGTCCTATTGTGATTGAGATATTTCCCTCAGCATCATGTCCTCCAGACTCCCCCATTTTGTGTAATGCTTTAAGAGTTCATTGTTTTTCAGTGCTGCCTTATATTCCTTTACGAGAATATACTATTTTCTATCCATTCATTTGCTGATAGGTGCTTGGGTTGCTTCTGTCTCTTTGTTATTGTGACTAATGCAGCAGTAAATGTAGGTGTGTATAAGTTGTCTTTTTTATTTTTAAGTTGTCTTTTTTATAAAATTGTCTATGGGAATCACAGAACACTTGATTGTACTTATGTGAAACCTATACTTAGACCAGGAGGTAGTTTTCAGAACAGAAAGGAAACACTGATGGTTCAAAGTCGAGAAAAGTGTATGCTAGGGATGTGTCCTGTCTCCATCCCTTTTCAGTCTATTTGTGGAGCAGGTCATCTGTGAGGCTGGGCTCTTTGAGGAGCAATGTGGCATCAGGACTGGAGGAAGACTCATCAAAAACCTGCATTATGCAGATGACACACCCTTGCTTGCTGAAACTGAAGAGGACCTGAAGTGTTTCCTGAGAAGGTTAACAATGGTAGTCTTCAATATGGATTGAAGCTCAACATCAAGAAAACACAGATTCTTACCACTGGCATGACTGGCAGCAGCATGATAGAAAGTGAAGAGATTGAGATTGTTAACAGCTTTAGTTTGCTTGTCTCTACAATCAACACTTGGTACCAGCAGCCAGGAAATCAAAAGGAATTGCACTTGGAAAGTCTGCTGTCAGAGACCTCTCCAGAGTACTGAAGAGCAACAGTGTCAGTCTGGAGACTAAAGTGTGCCTGATCCAGGCCATGGTTTTCGCATTTATGTGTATCGGAGAGTTGGACAATGACTAGAGATTGTAGAAAGGGAATCGATGCCTTTGAGCTGTGGTGTTGGAGAAGACTATTGGACTGCTAGGAGAACAAACTGGTTCGTCTGCGAGACGGTGAGACCAGGCTGCTCCTTGGAATCAAGGGATTCTAAAGCTTCATCTGACATACTTTGGGCATGTTACAAGGAGGGACCAGTCCTTGGAGAGGGACATCATGCTTGGAAGAGTGGAGGGACAGCACAGGAGAGGAAGACCCTTGATGAGATGGGTTGACTCAGTGACTGGGGTAATGGGGGTAGGTGTGTCAGAGACCATAAGGTTGGCACAGCATAGAGCAGGGTTCGAAACTATTGTACACAGGGTCACTATGAGTTGTAGGCAACTCGACGGCACGTCACAACAAGGGAGCTGCATTGCAGTCTTGAAGGCACATAGTTTGGATCCACCAGCTGCTTCACAGGAGAAGGATGTGCAATCTTCTGTCGTATGATTACTGCCTCTGAAAACCTGTTGGAGGGTCAGCAATGAGTTATTTCTGACTTGACGGCACACAGCAGCAACAACAAGTGTCACATGGATTTTAGTTATTAATAGTTTTATTATTATTTTGTGTGTGTGTGTGTGTGTGTGTGTGTGTGTGTGTACTGTTGCATCAGTTCCAGCTGGTGCAGGAGATTGCCCCTCCTTTTCCAGCAGAGCATCTGGTGGATTTGAACCAAGCGCCTTCAGAATTGCAGCACAGCTTCTTGCCACTGGGCCACCAGAGCATCCTAAACATTTTATAATTTTTTTGAGGTCCCATCTATGTAGTCTTTTGTGGTGTGTGCTTTTGTTTTATGTTGGATAATCCACTGTTAAAAGCCAGCCCCAACAACATTTCCCCTGCATCTTCTTCTGAGGATTCTGTGGTTTGAGCCTGCACGTTCAGAGGCTTGCTCCGTTGTGAAGCTGTTTTTGTGCATGGTGTGACGCAGAGATCATCCTGTGCTCTGGCAGGTGCCCATGGCGTGGCCCCAGCTCCCTTCATCAGAGGGGCTCCTCTCTCCCACCCGGTGAACCAGCACATGGATGTGTGCTTAAGTCTCGGCCCTCAAGTCTACTCTGCCGGTTTGTATGCCTATTGTGGGCCGACCTGGGCCGTTTGAATTACTGCAGTGCAGCTGTGCAGTCTGTTTTAGACTCAGGAAGTGGAGGGTCTTTCAGAGTCGCTTTAGCTGCTCGGGCTTCTTGCCTTGCCATGGAAAGTTGAGGATTGGTTTTTCCTTTTCTGGTTGACAGGTGGGCCGTTGTTGAATCTGTAGGTGAGTCTGATGGGATTGTCATCTTGATCATCTTCTGATACATGAACACCCTCCCATTTATTGAACTGTTAGGATTTTTCAGTAGCTTTCAAAGGAGTTTTCCTTGTCTCCATCCTTGTGCCTCTGGTTAGGTTTATTCCAGGATGTTTCGTTCTTAGATTCTGTGTTAAGTTCTAGTTTCCCTTTCTGATTTTTGTTGCTGATGGTCCATCCATCCGTCTGGATTTTGTTGGTTGACCTTTTACTTTACCACTTTGCTAAATTCCTCTTGTAGCTCTGGATGTTTTCTTGCAGACTTTTGGGGATTTTTCTACGTAAGATCACATCATTTCTGAAGAAGGTAATTCTGCTTTTCCAGGCTGTGTTCCTTTGTTCCTGCTCCCTGTCCTTGGCAGGAGTGCTGTGGGCTGTAGGTCTGTAGCGTCACCGCAGCTCCCTGTGACAGTACTGCTGTCCTCAGTTTCCTGTCTACAGGTCATCAGACCTTTCTGCTGCAGGGTCACATGGTGGGCTTGGTGTCTAGCCTTTCATCCGCATCCATGAGACGTTCGTCCACTTCAGGACTGCAGTTCAGCGGCTGTGGCTGCTGGTCAGTGTGACTGATGGTGACCCTCCACGGTAGTGACATTGTAGATCATGCTGCATGCCTTTTTCACTTGGCATAGCTGCTGAGTTTGAACTGTCAGCCTTCCAGTTATCACCCAGACTCTTAACCCTTTTGCCAGCAGAGGGGTTTTGATCTCTTTCCAACTCGCTCCCCTCCTCCACCCTCACCACAGAGAGCAGGGTGGCCGGGGTGCCTGGTCTCTCCTGAGGTCACCTCACAACACAGTGACAGGGAAGGACACTCTGGAGTCTGTGTGATCAAGCCAGGGACACCCTGTCCTGTCTCATCCAGCCCCTGCCTGGGGTCCCTAAGAGTCTGACTTTTGTTCCCCACCTCCAGGTGATCCCCAAAGACTACAAGACAATGACGGCCCTGGCCAAGGCCATCTCCAAGAATGTCCTCTTCGGCCACCTGGACGACAACGAGAGGAGGTAGGTGATGTGGGCCAGGTTGCTTCCTGCACACTGACCGCCCCTGACTGTGTCTGATTGCCCATGGCTATTGGACTGTGGTGATAAGTTGGTTGGTTTTGAGAAGTCAGCTACGAAGTCTTTTTTCCTAGTCTGAATCTGGACACTCTGTTGACACTTCTGTAACATCAACATCCCCCTTTGGGGCATGAGGCCTTGTGGACACATGCCCAGTGGGGCTCCTCACTGTCAGAGGACAGTCACCATCGGCAGACCCAACCCTTGACGATGGAAAGTGAGCGCCTGGGGGTGGGGGAGCAGTGAAGAGAGAGAGAGAGAGAGTGTGTGTGTGCGTGTAGATCTGTGTGTATTGTGTAATTATTCACGTGTGTGTATACATACATATAGGGAGTTCTGTGCTCCCAACCTGGAGACAAGGAGTTCTAATCCACCAGCTCCTCTACGGGAAAAAGAGAGGCATTCTCTTCTCTGCCTCTGAAAACCTGCTGGAGGCTCAGCTGTGCCTTGCTTCTGACTCGATGGTACTCAACGACAACACAACATGTATGTATAGAGAAGAACATAATTGTAGTGACCGGTGGGCCCCAGATCCTTGGTTCAGACATCAGGCTGGAGGCTCCTGACCAGTGGAGCTGTAGGAGTGGAGGAACCCACAGTTGACAGGTCACAAAGCATTCTTCTGCCTCAAGTCTTAAGATTGAAGGTCCTGATGACTCGGGACTGGAGGTAGTGATGCCTTAGAAGCAGGATCCAGAGAGATCGTAAAGCCAGACTGAGAGCTGTGCCCGAATGCCCTTCTGTACCAGACATGCCTCAGCTCCCGCAGGTACATCTAGTCAACCAGTTGTCTCCTCACAGCAGATCTCTTTATGGAGGTGATGACATTGCATCAACTCTCAACTGTGGAGGTGATGACTTTGTATCATGTCTCATCATGGAAGTGATTGTTGTTGTTGTTAGGTGCTATTGAGTCAAATACAACTCATAGCCATCCTATAAACAGAAGATCTGAACCTGTGTGCCCTCCTCACACTTCCTGACACATGAGGGCCCATTGCGACAGTCATTGTGTTAGTCCAGCTGCTTGAGGATGTACCTCTCCAAGGAACAGACCCCCTCCAGGCAACATGCCTAAGATATGTGGGCTGAAGCCTCGCCATTCCTGCCTCCAGAGAGCACTTCAGCTGCACCCTCTTCAAGACATATCTGTCTGTTCTCCTGGCCGTCCATGGGGTGCTCAGGGCCCTTCTCCAGCATCACAGCTCAAAGGCATCAGTTCCTTTTCTCTCGTCCTTATTCATTGTCCAGCTCTCAGATGTGTAGAAAGTGATTGAAAAGACTCTGGCTCGAGTTGCAGGTTAGTCTTCAAACTGACATCATTCTCCTCCATAAAAACAGAAGAGGAAGAGATCTGTACGAAAAGAATATATGATGCGGTATTGTTGGCATGACAAGAGTCCAGAATAAGAGCTGCATAGTAAAGTGGGGGGGGAGGGTGCGGACAGGACTGTCTAACAATGGAAGAACCTTTTTCCCCCAAAGGAAAAAGTGAATGGGGCGGGGAGGCAAGGAGGAAAATGTGCGATAATGAATGAATGGAAATCCAAGTTCTTTATAAACTTACAATGAATTCTCAACTAAAAAAAGAAGTGATTGCACACACCTTCATGGGCATGATTACGTTGTGCTGGGCTCTGGCATGGAGGTGATTACGTCGTCACGGATATCACCCTGAAGGTAGTGTCGTTGTTGTGTCAGTTCTCAGCGTGGAAGTAGCAGCACTGTCTCAGCTGTCCCCACGGACTGCCTACTCTGTATCAGGTCTCCACATGGAGGTGACAGCTGGCAGGCAGGCCCAAGTTCACCTTTACTTGGGGACAGTTTCTCTCTCTGTCCCAGCCGGCAGGCTGCCGTGCATGCGTTGAGCCCTGGCGGGAGTAGGCCTGGAACTCTGGCAGGGTGCAGTACTTGCCTTTGACCTTGCAGGGTGTGATGCTGCACTCGGATCCACCTGTAACTTCTGGAGTCACTGCGAGGGCAGCTGCACTGCGGGCACCTACCGCCAGGGGCCAGGGACCGGGCTTCTTCTCCTGCGTCCCCTGTGCCGCTGTGTCCCTGCTAGGCCGTTTGGGGCTTCCCAATAAGCACGTGCTTCCTTGTGCTTACTCACTTATCTGCAGTGAAGTTTCCCATATTGCCACCACATCAGAGCTTCTGCTTTGGGACCTGCCTCGTACCCTTGAGTCCTTCCTTACAAAATCAATGTCTTTCTTGAAATGCAGCCTCTGACAGGATGGATCAGCGTTCAGTGAGGTAAGCAGGGCCTCCTTGCACTTACTCATTTGCAGTCAGCAGTTCACATTTTTCACCTCATCAGAGGGTCAGCTTGCAGGGTTGACAGTCCCCTGTCACCCAGCCCCTCGGCACTGCAGATGAGGAAGTAAGCACGAGACACTTGTGCAGACCTGGCTGGTGGGGACCCTGCCCTGCCTTCAGCGTTGCATCAGGGGCCAGCTGTAACCCGGACCCTCCTGGCCCCACCTGAATCCTGGCTGGGTGGCTTGCGTTAGGGTCTCCCATCAGAGAAGCCCTTGCTGAGGTGGTCTTCTGTGTTGTCCTAGCTATGGGTATACAGGAGGGGCCAGTGCTGGGACCCCATGACTTCGGCTGCATTTCCAGCCCCACATGCACCTGAACTCAGAGCTGGAGGGAATAGGTGTGTTTGCTCCAGCCACTGTGGTGTTTCTGTGCCAGCAGCTCTCAGAGGCCAGCCTGGCTCTTCTGATTAAAGAGGGAAATGCAGGCCAGTTCATGGAGGCGCCTGCTAACTTCCCATAGCTGGTGCCTCCTGAGACCAGAGTTGTCCTCTCTGGCAACTGTTGGACCTTCTTGTAGCGCCGTGTGGGGTGTGACACTCTCCTCTTGGGGACTTAATTTCTCTTCCTGTCTCCTACTCAAGGCCAGACGATGTGTTAAGTGGCACAGCCTGGTTCCAGTCTAGGACACCCCACCCCCAAACCTGTGTTCTTCCCCTGAGACCTCAGGTCAGTGTTTCACCAAGTACCTACTGATGGGGGTGCCCTGGTGGTGTACACACGTGGTTTACGATGTGCTAGAATGTCCTTGGGAAGGAGAGTCGTGTGAAGGAACTTGAAACTTGTGGAATGACATTGTTAGTACCCATTTCCTCAGATATCAAAGAGAATTATAAACACTGTAGGTGACTGTAAGGTCCTGTGGTCCTGTCATCACCACCACCGCCTTCACCCCTCCGTCATCCTGACCACTATCACCCCCCGCCAGCATCCTCACCACCCCCATTATCACCACGTTCACCTTGCCACCCCCACCACCATATCACCACCAC